GAATGCGTATGTGATGATTTCCAAAGATTTAACTTTGTTTCAGTACTTAAGATTCATTTAAGCCAATGCAGGTACCCCTGTGTTATGATACAGCAATAACCTATTTTTTCATTTTGTTAGATAACCATACCTGGTAATCTGAGAGTAAAGTCAGTATTTACTACTTTTCCCTCAAAGCAGTCTGATGCATTTGACTTAAAATTTAGAACTTCAATCTGTTAAGAATAATCATTTTTCTTCTTTCAATTGGTAATATTTGTCATATTTGAAGAAAAGCAGATATCTAAGTTCTTATCTTCTATCATTCTTACAAGTATTTCAATTATATTGTTTTCTCTTCATGCTCAAGTCCACTGACCTAGCAGATGGCCAACAAATGTTGATATGAACTGTCCTTGAAACAGAAGCAAATAGAGATCTCTGTAGAAAAATGCTGGATGCAAAACAAACACGGAGACTCCTGAGTCTGAAGTATCCCTAAGTGTAATATCTTGAGCTTAACGTTGTGGTCTCTAAAAAGCTTCAGGAAATGCCTTCTACCACGTTTTCAGTGGACGGGGAGGGATTATCTTCAGTGCAGGAAGTGCTCTGAAGAGTAGCTGCACCCAAGCCAATGTACAAACGAGCAGCTTTTTCAGGGGACTGAGTCCACGTCTACCATTTGGCTCCCTCTAACGGGGAAAATAAAATAGGCCAAACATTGTAATCCCATGTTTTAGTGAAAACCAGTTTTAGAAATACAAGCTTATAAGTACAAGCTTTTGAACCACCTAACCATAATTTAGAAAACAATGATGTAATGACTCATAATAGTATTCTATTATGCCTGACATGGAAAAAAGTTGCAGATAAATTTCAACACGAAATAACAAGCATACAATGGGCAGCCCTTATTATCCAGCGTATAAGAGAAGTCCATAACTAATACATACCAAATTGATCAATGCTTCTTAAAAAGCCTATCAGTGTCCTTCCATCTCGAAGCAGGACCAAGTGCTTTTCTGGAGGGAGGAAAAAAGATCTTCAAAAAATAGCTGCAGTGAGTTTAAAGGGTAACAACAAAAATGAAATTAATAGTTTAAGCCCTACTACTTCCGCTTCTAAGGTATTTACAGAGAAGTTCGTTGGGAAATTAGAGGGATGACCAAGACAGCCTTGCATTCACATTAGAAGATCAGTGGTGACAAGAATCAGAGCAGTGTCGCAGAGTGGGAAAAGGACTGCGTGAGCAGTCAGGAAGCCCGACTGACTGGCTCTAGCTGCTGCTGCTTGACAGTTAAACCCTCTCAATGTTACGTTCAGTTTCTATATCTGAAAATTGAGACATTTAGTCTAGTGATCTTTAAGATCTTAATTCTAGAATTATTTTCCCCTCAACTTAGAGGAGCTTCTGTTTAACACCGTGGAATCAGGGAAGGCTGAAATAAAAATAATGCCTCAGATGTGTCAAATGAGGATGCTGATAATAAGCTAGAGCAAAAATTCAATAATGTTTATTAATGTGCTCTCTAGGGCCTAGAGGTACAGTAGAGAATAAGATTCAGAAAGTCACCAACTTTATGAACATATATTCCTGGTGAAGGAAAGCAAACAAATAAAAAAATGACCTACTGTGATTGGTACAATGGAGATAGCAGGATGGTTTGATGAAGAGAGGGGAAGTCGCTACAGAAGAGAGGTGGCTAGAGAAAACCTCTCTGAAGAGGTGACTTTGAGCTGATACTGAAGGACAGCAAGCCAGTCACTAGAATAGCTAGCAAAATTCATTCATTCATTTCTTGAGTGCCATGCATAAAGTACTTTCTAGATGCAGAACAGAGGAAGAAGACAGTGAGTCTTCCCTGAAGGAATTGTCTTCCTTGGGCTATAATTAAGAGCCATAAGATTGCAAATCTTAATTATACGAGACTGAGAGAAACTCTATCTAGCCAGAGGAGGTATCTGAGTTGGACCTTGAAAGGTAGATGTTTTGGCCATAGGAAAAGTGACAGGGAAGGGGAAGAGGAGGGAAATCTGTAATTCAGACAAGAGGGAAAACAAAAGGCTAAGTATTCATGTGTGACTAAAAGTTGAGGGTGTGAAGGGAAATAGAAGACGAAGTCAGAAAGGTCCTGGGAGCAAGATGAGTTTGGATGTGACTTCATAGGGAATAAGAAAACTTTGAAGACTGAACTGGCAGAAAAGGGAGAGCAGTTACGAGGCTATTCCCAGAGCCTGAGACATGAAGAAGAGACCTGAATCAAGGTAGAGAGGGAAAGGGAGAGGATGAGAGGATTAAAACTGTGCATTTATAAGTGATGGGATTTGTCAACTAATTGAGTTTGTATATGTGGGTATGTGTGAGAGAGTGGGGTGCTGAAGAGATGAGTTAAAGACGACATAGGAATCTTGAGTCACCATGTCAGGGAGGACCATTTACCAAAAGTCGGGAGTAAAAGAAGCAAGCTCAGGGTGGAAGGTTATTAGCTGTTTGTGATTCCGAAGTGCTATCAGGACACCTATGCAGACAAGTCAACAGGGAGTTGGAAATGTAAGACTGGAATGCCAAAGAGGTCAGAATTAGAGCAATTTTGGATAAGTCCACAAAGAGGTAATGTAACTATTAAAGGCCAGGAGATCTCCTGGAGATTTAAAGAAAGAAGCAGGCCAAAGATGAAAACTGAGACTGTCTATTTTAGGGAAGAACAACAGTTGGAGAGATAAGAAAATGAGTAAGGACCATTGTTGGAGAAATCAAGAGAAGAGAATTAAGAATCCAGTGGTAATAGTATTACTGTGCTGCAGAGGGGCGGGAAGAGCTCAGAAGAGTGCATCAGACTGATGCCTTTTAATAACGTAACTTCAGTAGTGCATTGACAACAAAATTTGATTTCCAGTGGTAATAGAGGCAGTCTATTGCAGGTGGTCAGGAAGTAGAGTTGAAATGGAGGTGATTAAAGAGGTTTCGGGGTAAAAATATGAAAAAGGGATGGGATTTTGATGGGGAGACACAACTGAGAAAAAAATTGAGATGGAGGGACATGAACATACATGAAAGGAGGGATCCAGGAAGAGAAAGAGAGACCATATGAGAGAAAAAGGATATTAACAGAAGAAGGTTCCAGATGCAGTGGGAGGAAAGAGTAATAAAAGAAAGAAACTGAATGGGAGGACTACTTTCTACTTAAAGGAGAAGATGGGTAAAATACAGAAAGACTGAGGAGAGAGGAGGAAAGTGTGTGTGAAGGGGACAATGAAGGGTGCATATAAAGTGGCTTCAAACTTTTCAGTAGAGGAGGGGGCTTGGAAACTGTAAGAAGGGGTTAGAGGACTTAAGAGTAAAAATTATTTTTATTAAAGTGGCAGAATGTGTTAGGGACCTCAAATAATTCAGATACATAACAAGAGAGGTGAGGGCTAAAGGGCATTCTCATTCAGCTAAAATGGAAGATTTCATTACACATCACAGAAAGGCTCGTACAGTGGTTATTCATATATAAATTTGGTCCAATTTACAACACATTTCCTTTCAATAGCAAAATCACTAATTTGGGTTTAAAAAATGATTTCAGACAATGATAAAAAGAGAATTTAATCTTAGACTCCTTTAATTTGCATACATAGTAACTGTAGATATAGTTGTAACTTGTTCGGAACTGTGTGTAAGCCACTGTGCAGCAATTACAAGTTAACGAGACAGATCACACTATTAAAACGATTAAAAAAATGTTGCTAGAGGAATAACTCACAGATGAGAGCTTAGAAAAAGGAAAGACAGGACAATTCTAAGTGGCTCTTCTGTTTTACAGGCCTGAGCTCCTCTTCAGGACGACGGCTAAGAATAAGGGAGGTCTTCTTAGAAAAAGCAAAAGAAAACTGTCTAATAGAAAAAAAGGAAGTTTGAAGTGACTCAGTTTTTCCATAAAAGTCAATACCTTGTCTGGTAGTGGTCTCTACTACCACAACCTAACGTGCTAAAGACCTCACCGTAAAAGAAGACTGCAAATGACTACACAGCATAAAGCCTAAGTTTACTGCAATTAAGTTCAATTGCTGTTGTCTTACTATTTTCGTTTCTCGATGAGTCTCTTCTCTAAGTATTATCATCCATCCACCAGTAACAACCTGGTACTTCGAAATACCGCAGGTGGAAGACAATGGACCGGGCCGGGAGGGAGCGGGCGCAACTTTCGCATCTGGGCCTCAGCAGCCGCGTCCCTCGGAAGCAGGAATGAATTCGACAGCTAGTGCCTCACCAGCCCCGGGACTGGTGGAGACTGCGAGGGGCAGCACAGAGATAGGAGGTGGGCAGACGGTGTGTCCCGTGGCTCCTCCATCCCGTGGAGGACGTCAACGCCCAACATTCACCACTGTGCTAAAAGCACACTGCGCCCCCGCCCCAGACTCAGTCTACGAGCTCTCTCCGAAGAGGCACATGCCCGGGAGGAAGGGTCTCACCCCAGACTTCGCCCGGAGGAGATGAGCTACTCACTGTCGATGTCCTCGATGAGGCTGGCAGTGCCGGGCATATAGTTCATTTTGAGCTGAGATAAGGCTGCAATGTAGCGGCGGTGGCCCACTGCGTGCAACACCTGCTTCCTCCTACCGCAGTCGCCGCCTGGGCGGGACCGGGACACACAGCCGAACCTGCACCAGGACGTCTGCCCCGGCTTTCAGCAGCCGGGGCCCGCCGGAAACTCCTCCATATTACCCCCACCCACTTCCGGTATCACGTGGTCGTCCTCAGGAAGAGGCGGGACCGTCATGGGGTCTGCACGCCCTTTCCTCATCCCTTTTAAGAGGGGGGAGAAATTTAGGTTGACTAGATGGTGGGAAAATAAGTTCTCCCTTTTAAGAAACACAGTGCCGCCCCTCCTTTCCCTGCTGCCTAGACCCCAGAGTCGCGGATCCCCGTGCCTCAACTCTCAGCACTCGGCAGCCGAAGGGGCGGGACCTGGCCTGGGATTGGCTGTCCCCGGCCGACCCCCTTCACTGTGGTCCAGTCCCTCTAGCCCGCAGACGCCTGCGCAATGGGCCGGCCGTGGGGGGCGGGAAGCACTGCGGGGCAGTGGAGCCCATGTCGGCCTTGAGGCGCTCGGGGTACGGCCCCAGTGACGGTCTGTCTTATGGCCGCTACTACGGGCCTGGGGGTGGAGATGTGCCCGTGCACCCACCGCCGCCCTTATATCCTCCTCGCTCTGAACCTCCCCAGCCTCCCGTTTCCTGGCGGGGGCGCGGGGGCGGCGTGGCTGAGACCCCCTGGCCGGGAGACTGCGGAGGAAGCGATGGCTACTATCCGTCTGGAGGCGCCTGGTCGGAGCCGGGGCGAGCTGGAGGAAGCCACCAGGTAAGCTTTGCGCCGTCTCCCCGGGGAGATCCGATCGGCGAGTGTTTGGGGTGAGGGCCATTGGGATTGATGTACCTCCAGAGTTCGTAATGGATCGGATTTCATATTTGTTTTCCTTAGGGGGTTGGAGATACAAGCTGGGATCGTGGGTGGGGGGATGTGCTTGTGTTCTCTTCGCCCCTCCTCTTCTGCTTCGACCATAATAAATGTGTCTATTACCGTTGAAAAAGGAGAAAATCCTGTGCTGACTTGCTCAGCTAAGTAGCAGGCTGGGGAATCTCCCGCCTTGGAACGATGTTGGGCTGGGGGGACCTGGCTCTGCGTTTGGAGTCAAACAATTTATCCTGCGTGGCTCGTCAGGCCGGCTCTCCCCGAGAAGGGAGGCGGCTGCAGCCCCCGCCGTCACTCAGAACCCCTCCCGCGGAGAAGGAACAGGAAGGAAGGGGAGGCTGCTGATTTAGCCCTTTGCCCTACTGCTTTGCCCCGGATTGAATCATGCATAATCAGTGTTAGAAAGCACCTTTACCTGGATTGTTTTATTTAATCTTCACGGCGACTGGAACGTAAATGTCATTACAGCGTCCCTATTTTACGATTAAAGACCCATTGGCTCTGAGAGGTTAACTCACTTGTTCAGTAAACTCAGACCTATAACGTTTTTTTCCTGCCGGAAATATACCTCTGTTTTGTTAATGTGGTATTCTTAGTAAAGAATTATTGTTATATGGTGGGGGGGCACACCTCTCTTTTCGTTCAGGAATTATAACATCCTTATTGGTTGAAAATGTAATAGTGCAATTCCCATACATCGTCGGTGGGGATGTAAAATGGTTCAGTGCTTTGGAAAATAGTTTGGCAGTTCCTCAGAACGTTAACATAGAGTTAGCATATTACTCAGCAAGTCTGCTCCTAGATATATAGCCAAGAAACTGAAAACATATGTCCACGTAAAAACTTGTATATGCGTGCTCATAGCAGCGTTATTCATAACAGCCAAAAGGAGAAATAACCCAATGTCCATCAGTTGATAAGTAGATAAAATATGATATATTTATACAATGACGTTATTTAGCCATAGAAAGGAATGAAGTACTGATAGTTTCTGCAACACGGATGAACCTTGAAAACATCATGCTACATGAACGAAGCCAGTCACCCAGACCACATATTGTACGATTCTATTTAAATGAAATGTCCAGAATAGGCAAATCTGTAGAGAGAAAGATTAGTGGTTGCCAGGGGCTGGGGGATTAGGGACGTTGGGGATGATAGATAAAGGGTATAGGGTTTCTTTTTGCGATGATGAAATGTTCTGGAGTCAGGTAGTGATGATGATTGCATAGTTTTGAATATACTAAAAACCATTGAATAGTACACTTTAAAAGGGTGGTTTTCATGGTGTGTTAGTTGTATCTTTAAAAAATTGCGTGAGAAAAAACATTTAGTAGTAAGAGGTTAATTGTGAAGAAAGGTCCATATTTTCTCTATCTAAATTTGGAATAAGTAGGCCCACAGACTTTAATCCCATGGTAGAGTAGAGTGATGAGATGCTTGGCCTATAAGTAGCAAACTAGACCAAAGGTCAATTCAAGGGAAAGAGGAAAGGACCATTAAACTGATGACTTCTACTTGGGCCTGCTATATTATTAAAACAAAAGTATGTTTTGGGGATAAGGTTAGAGAAGTTATGATTTTAGTTTTGTGTAGGGGGTTGTAAGGTATGGTTGAGTGTAGGTGTGCGTATATAGGGTGGTTCTCGGTGCTGTAGGAGTTGGACATAAAGCTAGAATGTGTAATGGGTCTTTGCAAACCATTCCAAGAGTTTATCTTTCAGGTTGATGTTTCTGAAACTTGAAAAGTGTAGGATGGTAATGTCTTATGCAGCAATAGAAAATTAATGCAAAAGATATGCATGTTGTCACAGATGTTGCAAATGTTTTGTTTCCCCAAATTTGTTGTTTTTTTTAACTTTATTGTGGTTTTTGACATATAAGTTTTACATTTTTATGTAGTCAAATATGTCAAACTAAAAAAAAGGGGGTACAGGAGCCCTTTAAAGCCCTACTACTCAGAAAGTGTGGTCCTGGGGGGCCGGCCTGTGGCCAACTGGTTAAAGTTCTGTGTGCACTCTGCTTTGGCGGCCTGGGTTCACGGGTTCGGATCTTGGGTGTTGAGCCATTTCACTTATCAGCCATGCTGTGGAGGCATCCGACATAGAAAACAGAGGAAGATTGGCAGCAGATGTTAGCTCAGGGTGATCTTCCTCACACACACACAGAATTGTGGTCCATGGACCAGAGGTTTCAGTGTCATTTGGAGATTGTTAAAAATGCAGAAGAAGATCCCTAGGTGATTCATGTACACGTTCATGTTTGAGAAGCACTGCTGTATAGAATTAAATATATTGAGATGATGTTGCACTGAGCCACTACAAAGACTTGACTGTATTAACATTTAAATATGGCAAGGAAGAAAAAGATGGAAATCTACCACTCCCTTTTTCTTTCTTTTCTTCCCTCGATAGCTATACTTGCAGCACTGTAGTTTGATCCCTGAACTAGCAGCATCTACATCACCTAGGAGTTTGTTGGAAATGCCATATCTCAGGCTCTGCCCTGGACCTTCCGAACCAGAATATGCATTTTAACAAGATCGCCAGGTGCCTCACCTGTTCCTTTAGAACAAGTCGTGGAGAGAGAGGGAGCGCGCAGGCAAGCTGAGAGGGAAGCCTCAAGCCGCAGTCTTTTACAGCCTAATCTCGAAAGTGATATGACGTCACTTCTGCGGTATTCTGTTTGGTCATAGAGACCAACTCTGGTACAGTGTGGGAGGCAGCTTCACAAGGTTGTGAACACCAGGAGGCAGGGATCATTGGGGGCCACCTTGGAGGATGATTACAACAGGAAGGAATCGGGGACAGAGAGCTCAGTTAGGCCCCAGAGTGCAGAAGAGAGCAAAAAGGGCATTTATTTGAACCATGTCTAAATATAGACAGGTTTTTTTCATCATTTTATAAAAATTTTTAACCAAACAGAAAAGTTGAAAGAATTCTACAGTGAATATATCCCATATATCCACCACCTAGATTGTGTAATTAGCATTTCTTATATTTGCTTTATTACATCTGTCTATCTTATTTTTTGGATGCATTTCAGTACAAGTCGCATAGATTTGAAAGACATTTTCAAAGGTAGATATCGACTGGAGGTGAGGGATGCAGGAGAAACAGCAGGTGATTCTGAGGTTTTAGTATTTCATAGGAATAAAGGTTTCATGGAATTAAAAAGGAAGAGGAACAGGTGTTTTTGGGAAGTTATGGTTTAGTTTTATACCCAAAGAACTAGTGATTGGTTAATAGAGGAGCTTAAAAAAATACGAAGTACAAAGACTTGGCAAGCGTTCACCTACTGCCTTTAGTTCACTTGCGCTGGAAGCCAAGTTAGTCACGGCGGTTACTATGTGTCAAGCTCTGGATGCAATGTATGCAACTGACTAGAGAGAAATTTGTGATTTTCTGTTTTTGTTTTTTGATGTTGATGTCTTTGTGGCAGCTAGGAGTTGTTTTCTGTGGGAGCAAAACTGTAGATGTGGGGCTCAGGAGAGAGATGGTGGGTGGAGATTGACAGGCATCAGATATAAGCATTGCTGAATTACCCAGCTGGGGACTGTTGCCAGGGGAGATCTTTGAGAGTCTAGAATAGGGGACAGAGAAAGAGGATGCAAAAGAAGATGATGAGGGAGAATACTCAGAAAGACAGTGGGAAAATCAGGAAAGTCATGCAATGCAAACCAAACAAAAATGCCATTATTTTGCAGGTAAGTGATATGAAAACTGAGAAGAAGCTGTTGGATTTGTCAATTAAAAAGATATTGTTGATTTTAGTGGTGAGAGTTTCAAATAGTATGAAAGTAATGAAGGGGAGGTTTGGGTGAGAAGACCAGTAGTGTAAACTGTACTTCCGGAAGTTTATATAGTAAACTTAGTAAATGGAAACATGACCGAGAATCAGGATTGAGGGAAGAATTTTTAGGATTGGGGCCTTGAGTATGTTTGTAAGCAGAGGAGAATAACCTAGTAGATTGAGAAAAAGATGCGACCAAAGGATGGACTATAGCTTGGGAAAAGGGAGGTTAAGTGAGGAAGAGCTGAGAAACGTCTTCGAGCTAGAGGGGAAAACGTAAGTTTGGAGTTGGAGGGGAGGGACATTGAGGGAGTTTGTAGCTCTTGCTGTCCTCTCTCGGTGCAGTAGGAGTCTAGGTCATCTGAGAGGAAAGGAAGTGGGATGGGATGAGCTGGGAATTTGATACGATAAATATTTGAAACAGGTGCTACATAGGGGAAAGGGGGAAATTGTAGAGAAGCATGGAGGAGATCCAAATGAGATTGACAATAAAAAAATTGTGATGTTGATCAATACAGGAGCATACAGCGCTTTTCAGTGATTTTGGAATATATAGCTATAAAAATAATTTATAGTGTACTTTTCTAATAATTTTTATCTAATTCTTGTGAAAAATGTAAACAAGTTTGTAAACGGAAGTTAGGTAGCACCAGCACCAGTTGGATTCCTATACTGTTAGATTTGTTTGGGCCGGTTATTTCTAGGAGGCATTGTTGGTAAGTCACTTTGTACATTTCTACATATATCCACTTCTTACAAAACTAGTTAGTTCTAAGGTAAGTATTAAAGGAGTTGACTCCAGCCTTCATCTGAGATTTAAGTATTTCTTCTTAAAAGAGAAGAACGTAAATAAATTTATTACCTTCTTGCATATATATATTTTTTTTGATGAGCAAGATTGGCCCTGAGCTAACATCTGTTGCCAGTCTTCCTCTTTTTGCTTGAGGAAGATTGTTGCTGAGCTAACATCTGTGGCAATCTTCCTCTATTTTATGTGGGATGCTGCCACAGGATGGCTTGATGAGCAGTGCTAGGTCTGCGGCTGGGATTTGAACCTACGAACCCCAGGCCGCCGAAGCAGAACATGTAAACTTAACC